CTTAACACATGACAAGACCAGGAATGACAGATTTCTAATTCATTCTGATAGTAACTCATCCTGTGTAGACCAGGACACACTACTTAGGTCTGGCCTGCACTAAAAAGTTAGCTTGACTTGGCTACCTTGTTGAGAGATCCATGCCTGTGAGCAATATAATTGAGCAGATCTAAACTCTGGTGTAGACCTCAATATGTCAATGGAAGAATTCTTCTATCTGTTGTCTCGCAGGGAGGTGGATTTCCCATGCTGACAAGAGCCCTTCCCATGTGTATAGGTACTGGCTGCACAAGACTAGAACAGCACTGGAGCTGTGCCGCTGTTGGGTTTCAGTTGTAGATAAGCTGTAGGCCTTAATGTCCCATCTTGCAATGGGAGACAATAATTGCCGTTCCTCCTTGGGGAATAGTTGTGAGAAGAACTATAGTAAAAATCAACATGCAAAATCAAGAAATGCAGGTTTGTCAACACCAAAGCATTTTACAGATTCATCTTGCTTTTGTCAAATTGTTGGTCAAAAAGCCTAAATTGTTTCAGAATTTTCTTGGAACGTGTCACTCTGACCTCTTGTAATCTACTCATAGGGAAGTTGCTTTTTTATTTATATATACAAGTTATTTATTTATGCTTTTATTTATATTTGTTTTAATTTATTTTTGTTTGTTTATTGATGTGTATTTATTTATTTATATATACATACATACATAAACTTGTAAAAAGTACTCTAAAACCTTTTGTTTGATCCCAAAATATTGTTTTGACTTTTCAACTGCCAAAATTGAGAAAACAATAGTCCTTCTTAATTGTCAGTGAACTGAAACTTTACTGGTTTGCCTAGCTGTAGTTGTGAGTAATGTTCCCTCTAATGCTTTCCGTCCATGTGCATAATGAATTTTATGTGCACCAATATTGAGACTGTGGATGTGCACCAACAATAGAAACAAACCCTATATATTTTTAAAAGTTACTACAGGGATAATTATTCCAGCCAGGACAGACTAGGCATTTTAGAACTCATCACAGTATTCAAATAATTAAATTTAAGCATAACAGAAATAAAAAATTAGGAAATGCATAGACCAGGAGGGAGGCTGGGCGGTGAGGGTGTGTAGGGTTGCCAGGCGCCCGGCATTTTCGCCTCCTGGCCAGGGGAAAAATTCAGAAAATACCGGACATTTTAGGTGTCTGGTATTTCCTGATTTTTTTTTTTTTTTTTTTTTTTTTAAGGGGAATGAATACTGGACACCTGGCAACCCTAGTGGCACAAGAATGAGCAGCGCTTGAAAGACAGCTGTGTAGCTACACAGCTTAGAGGGAACTCGGGTTGTGAGGACTAATTGTAAATCTCTTAAAGACTCTACCCTGCACTCCTAGAACTGAAAGTCCCTTTCTTCCCCTTTCATAGGTGAGGTCTGTTCTCTTAAACAGCTTTACAGTATTGAACCCTCAAAATAAAAATAAAACACTTTTGTACAGGTCCCTGGCTACCTTACCACTGTTTTTATTTCCTGTTCACCTTTGGGCGGTCACCTGATGTTGTGACTACGCTGATGTTTCAAAGGATGATATGCAAATTCCACAGGAATTTGCGTATCTTGTTCCGACCTCACTTTCAAAAGTGAAAGTAGAGTGTGTGTGTGTTGCAACCTCCCCTTTTTCGAAAAGCCACATAAAGCTCATTTTTTGAGGAAGAGTGGCTTTTTGAAAAAGGGGGGGAAGGTTTGCCAAAAATTCCGTGTTATGACTACTTTCACTTTCAAAAACTCTGCTTTTGAAAGTGAAATCGGAAGAAGATATGCCAATTCCCACAGAATTTGCATATCCTCTTTTTGAAACTTCAGCGTAGTCTAGACATAGCCTGAATGTATGATCTAGTTCCTAAAACTGTTTGTTTGCCAAGCTCAATGCACGGAAGAACGCATGGTGTGGGTTTTAACTAGCCTGCAGTTTTACTGGTGAGATTACATCCAAAGATCCCATCAGGGGACAAGGCAGTCACGGAGTCCACACTGATCCTTTGTCAATTCTTAGGGTGCTCCAGCTGCAGGAGAAGCCAGCCATCACACTAGACAGTGCCTCCAGTGACCCACTATAATCCTTGCCATTTTGGGGGGTTGAGGTGACCTCTGCAGCAAGACAGCACTGTCATAAAATGCAATTGCTGTGTGGCAGTGTCTGCCTCTGGGTTGCATGTTCCCCGGGATGGGGAAATAGGCATGTTGATCCATCTCTTAAGGAGGGAGCCTTCAGATGCCCTCTATTACCACTTTGGATCTGGAGCCTAAATCAGTGAATTCCATAGCTGTGCACCTTCCAGAATGTGCAGCCGCTACAGAATTTTCACATGGGTTCTGACTCTGGCTTCCAGGAGCAGAATTCCAGCCTTCCTGTTGCCCAAATCTCAACCTGTAGTCTTCTCTGGGGAAGACAAAAGCCCAAATCAATCTTGACCAATGGGGTGGAATGGGGGAAAAATTCTTTCACGGCCCCAGAGTGGTGACTAGCATTGCCCACAGTGTCCTGATAAGGAAGGGTTGGCTGTTGGGAGCTAGAGAGCAGAAAGCGGCCCTTAGCACAGGGCTTCAAATCTTGTGCCAAAACCTGCTCGCTCCTCTGGAAGTTGTGTGGGCAGGAAATCTCCCAGGATTTGGTCCAGCCTGTCCTTTTAGTCCTCTCCCATCATGGAGCAACTGCCAAGCTCAACCCTGGCTTCCCTCTTTTGGAAAGGCCTGCTCTTGCAAACTGAACACCATGGAGGGTGTTCTAGCTTTTGAAGATGCATGTTTTCTCAGTGCACTTTCTAGTGAGATGTAGCTTCTTTTGGTAGCTTTTGGCTCCTGGAGAGACTGGGGTAGACTTTAAGTAACTAACGCTCTGTGTCTTTTTGGTCTGGGGCACTAGGACGGTCCCATGATTAGCAACAAATGGATGCTTTGATGTGGCATATACTTGGAGACTTTCTCTTGCTTGTCCGGCAATGATATGTGGTTACGTTTGGTCCTGCAGGAAGGAACCTTGAGATGGAAATGCCCTTTGAAGTGACATGAAGGGGTTTTCCGCTTCAAACAAAATTGAAAATAGCTTCCAATTGTAAGATTGGAGGAAGTTATTTGCTTTTCTCTTACCTTCAGATAGCACTTAGTGTTCTAAAGAGGCTTTTACGTTTCTAGACTTGCACTTTTGATTTTCTTTTAAAGCTAGGAAACAAATTGCATGCAGACTTCTAGGCGAGCTGGAAGGTGTGGAATAGAGCACCTGCTATCAAGTGGAGGATGAGTATGTGCAATATTATGTAGCCTGATTTTTGTGTGTGTGGTGCAGTCACCATTGGTTAGTGAGAGATTATTCTGTGACTTACGTAAAATGATAGAATGTTTGTTTTGTAAGTACAGCTATCATCACTACCTGTTACTCTATACTGCAGTGTTGTTTGAGCTAACTCTGCTTGAGGCAGGGTGGTCACACCGAATTTAACACTTACCTGGCGTAGAGTTTTTGTTTTACTTGTCCTGGAGTAATGGAATTCCCTCTGCATTACTAGCTTGAACAGAGCAGCATGAAACTTCAGTTTCAATTTAATCATGGCTTTCTACATAAAGATGCATTCTTCTTGGTTGTCTTAACCTTAATACGCATTCCTCAACTCAGGGATGTAGGTTTCATTTTTAGAAGGTACACACTACAGATTTTTAAGTAATTTATTTTGAAAGCCATTCAGATAAGTTGTAGAGCTCTATCAGAAAATGAATGATTGGTTTACTTCATTTATCAAAGGTAACTGAAGCAGTTCACCTCCTAGGCCGTGTCCAGACTCAGGGGTTTTTTCGGGAAAAGTAGCCTTTTCCTGAAAAAACTTCCCCTGCGTCCAGACTCAAGCCACGTTCTTTCGAAATTAATTCGAAAGAACGCAGCTTTTCTTTCGATGGCGGTAAACCTCGTTTCACGAGGAAGAACGCCTTCCTTCGAAAGTTCCTCTTTCGAAGGAAGGAGTTCTTCAATGTAAAGAGGCCGTCTTCGAAAGAGAGCATCCAGACTCGCTGGGTGCTCTCTTTCGAAAAAGCGGATTTCTCTTTCGAAAGATCCGCCTACAGTCTAGACGCGATCTTTCGAAAGAGGCTCTTTCGAAAAATGCTTTAGAAAGAGCCTCTTTCGAAAGAAGCCTGCAGTCTAGACATAGCCCTAGTGACTTCACAAATATCTGCTTCAATTTAACAGGTTAATCATTAATGTTTGGAGGATTCTCTTGCCATGCAGTATTAGGAGAACATCACCACACAGACCATTTAAATTGTTGTATTTAACTAAAACAACATTATGTATTCTGGATATATATTTTTTTTCTTCTACAGCAAGCAAGTATATTTTACCAAAACAAGAACATGCATTTTTAATTTAAACGTTCAAGTTTTTGAAAATCAAATTAAAATAGTCAGTTTAATTTTCATTTAAAAATGTCAGCCAGGTCAACATGAGAAATTTAAAATATTGGCTTCCATTCATTGAACTCTTTGAAACTTTAGTCTTGTAGAGAGAGGTAAGAGATTGTCTGTGCACACACATTTACTGAGGGACAATAGGATGGAGGCCTGTTATTTCTTACCTCTACGTATTTAAAAACATGTTTGCTGTTAACAAGCGCGGTAGCTCTGGAGACACACAGCCACAATTTGAGAACTGTAAAACTAAGCATCTCTGGTATCTTTTTTTTAGACCAGTGATGTTCACGTTAAGAGTTGTGACACAGTACTGGGTGGCAGAATGACAGGCACTAGTTTGCCTTGCTGTAGTGTAAGCCACAGAGGTGCTGTGGCAGGTTTCCTCCCTGTCCTGGCACTGCAGACCCTGCTGTGACCCAGGAGCGGCCAGCAGCTGGTCCAGCTCTTAGGCATGGCTGGATGGGGCTCTCTCCATGGCCTCCACTGGCTGCTGGCAACTTGTGAGGTGTAGTCTGCAGTGCCGGGTCAGGCATGAAGCCTGCATTAGCACCCTTTCTGCACTGCTAACGGGGAGCTGGCAGAGGAACGCCCAGGCCCCAACCTTGAGCAGCAATCCCTGCCCCAGCCCTGAGCCTTTCTAAACCCTGATCCACCACCTCCACTCCAAACACCATCTGCATTCCGCCCCAGAAACTGCACCCCCAGATGGGGCCTGCACTCACCCTGAAACCCACCCCTACTCCAGCCCAGAGCTGCTTCTCATACTCTGAACACCTCTCTTTCTCCCCCCCACCCCCCGCCTGGAACCCCTATTACGCTCCAAAACCCTCATCCTACCCCACCCCAGAACCTGCATGCCCAAATGAAGCCCTCTTCTTCTCTTCCTCCCCTCCCACCCCATCCTGGCCCCACCCCATAGTCCTCACTCTAGTGAAGATATAATTGTTGGGTCGTGGTCATCTACAGTTTTTTCTTCTACTGGATTGCAAGGAAAACAGTTTGAAAATCACTGTTCTAGATTGAGCACTGAGTTCCACTGGGTAGATACTTAGGTTAATCTTTCTAATAGATACAGAAGCCCTAGGAATTCTATAAAATTGGGTCCCTAATCTATGAACTATTGGAAATCATTTACAAAACTTTTCTTTCGAATTAGAATTGAGAATTCCCTGTTCCATGATGAGATCTTTTGAGCTATGATGGAGCTATGATGTATCTCAATTACATCTATCTTTACATAGGCTTTTTTCCCCTCAAAGCATTTTATCAAAAAATCCAATTTAAATCATTTCCATTTTTTAAAATTTTTATCTGCCGGGCTAATGGCTAGTGAGCTAGAGGTTTTTAAAGCGCCGTTTAACTGGAGCTAGAGACTTGGTGTGCATGCGGTTGGGTTATGGGCAGCACTTGCTGCCAGTTGCACTTGGAGTTAGACCTAGCCCAAGGACTTGTATGTTCTGTGACCAAACTACAATCAGGTATGACTGCACCTTGGAGGCGAGCCTGCAACTAGTGTTAATCTAGCTAGCACAGCTACAAGTAGCAGCAAAGACATGACAGCACTGGCTAGCAATACAAGTATGTATCCAGAGTCTCTGGTAAGCTTGCATAGCATCTTCATTGCTTTTCTTTTAGCTGCTTTTGCAACTGTGAAGCTTGTGTGAGTGTATCCCTAATTCCGCTCTAATCACGCCGTCAATTACAGTGTAGACATGCTGCAGTTGGCCTTCTGTTTGTACATGTGGACTTTCAGGAGCATGTAAAACCAAACTCTGCTCATATGATGACTGATAATATTTGAGAATGTGCTATGAGAAGAAAGGTGGAGTCTCCTCTTGTGGCCTGGGATGTCATTAGGCAGTCGCTTGATTTGTTTTAAAGAAGCTAAAATCTCCCTCTGGATTTTATGTTCAAATACAGATCTCCAGCCTAACCTCTGAGCACTGTGTGCGTGTACTGAGCCAGTTTCAGTAGCAACTTACTAGCTCAATAGCTATCAAAAAACACTTGGCATTTGTATGTTAGGCAACATAAACCCCCCAGATAATCTTTCTGTGATGTGAGAAATCTGGAGGAACTGAGGTACAGCAATCGGTGATTTGCATGAGACCTTATTTTTAACAGTAGAGTTGAGACTGGATTTCAGTTCTGACTGGAAAATGGTTCTAATGTTCCCTCAAAATTTATTCCATACATGGACGGAAAAGATTAATGTGCACCAAGGTTATGTGCACCACCAGTAAAAACATACAACTGTGCTATGGGTGTTGTGCTCAGCAGGGTGGCATTTAAATCTCTCGAGTATCTGCACAAGCACACCACTCTCAAGGAGTGCGGGCTGAGAGGTGCATTTGAAATCAGAGGCCAGGGTAATCTTGTCACCTTCCATCTTGAGGATTAGATGGAAGATTGGCAAGTGTATCACGGGAAAATGAAGCATACCACAGCCCTCTGAAAACGAGTCTTCATCTCTAATTGGGAGCCAATTATAAGTTCCTTGAGGCTGGGAGACCGTTTTGTTCAGTGTCTTTACAGAGTCTGATAAATGGGGCCCTGTTCTATGACATAACACTAATGCTACTATTAATAGTAATCCTGTAAATGTCAAGAAGCGGGCAGGAGCATTGTAGTAGTGTGTATGGTATTAGCACAGGCTATTAAGTTGGCTTGAAATTGCAGTAGAATAGGCAAGGGATTAAAAAGTACATTCAGAGACTTGAATCTCTAACTTTTGTGCGGTTAGTGGTAACTTTTCAGTCAATTTAATGTGAAAGAACTAAAAACTTGTGTCAGAAAATGAACTGGCTGGGGGTGAGATTATGGCTTTGGAAAGTCTGAGAATCATGGAGTTAAAGAGATTAATGGTTTGTCTTCTCCCTCTCCTCTCTACTTAGTCAACCCCTGCACTATTCGAATGTGTTCAAGAACTCTCTTCAGAGGAGTAGCCGTGTTAGTCTGTAACTGGAAAAACTTTAAACAACAAATAGTTTTAGCAGCACCTTAAAGTCTAACAAAACATCTACATGTTTTGTTAGTCTTTAGGTGCTACTGGACTATATGTTGTTGTTAGTTTTTCCTCTTAGAGACTAACTCAGCTCCCCTTCTAAGATGTAGATGGTTGTTCATCTTTTAAGAAACAGCTAATAGTCTAGCAGTACCTTAAAGTTTTACCTTCTTTCTGTCAGCAAAGTTGTTACATACGTAGAAATGCTTTGCTTGTATCTCTTTTTTTTTTTTTTTTAAAAGCCTGTAA